CGTGAGTTTCCTGAGGATAGTCCACACGGTCTTGCTCAGTTTCTATAGGTACACTCTGGTGAGGCACAACCCCAAAGACATCGTCCCAGGATTGCTTCTTGCTACTTATGTGCTTTCTCATGTTTCTGGGAGACCCTCACTGCCTGTAGCCTTCAATTAATGATAGGAATGCCTTATAGAATTCCTGAGTTGGTTCAATTTTTTTTTTTTTTAATTTCAAATAGGATGAAAAGTTTTAAGCAATGGTTTTAGTTGTTTTGGTAGAAAGTTGTAATAAAGTTAGAATCAAAAATAAGATGTGCCCATTCCTCACGGAATAATAAGTAAAGGCTGCATAATCAGGAAAAAATGAGTTTTCATAAATTGCATTGAGATGAGAAATAGTCTTGGGATATATTTGTGATCAAGTAAAAACATTCATTCTAAGTCAGGTACAAGGATATAGCCACAGATGTGCACTGTGATAAAGCAAGGCTATGCGAAACTGTTGCTTTGAACTTGTAATGAACTTACAGAATGAAACACTGCCTTGAGCTTACTATTGACATCCTCCTGAGTCTCACTTTTATGTAACGTTTTATCTGTGAGGTAATTTTATAAAGAACTTTTGTCTAAGAAGGTGTAAAAAGGCTGAGAGAAAAAATGAAGTGTGACTGTGACTGCTGGGGCTCTGCTCCACCCAGCAAGTGTGTGTGTGTGTGTGTGTGTCTGTGTGTGTGTATGTGTGTGTGTATGTGTGTGTGTATGTATGTGTGTGTATGTGTGTGTATGTGTGTGTGTATGCGTGTGTGTGTATACATATGTGTGTATGTGGGTGTATATGTGTGTGTGTCTGACTTCCTTCCTTCCTCTCTCCCTCTCCCTCCCCCTCCCCCTCCCCCTCCCTCTTCCTCCCTCCTTTTCTCCCTCTTTCTTTCTTTCTTTCCTTCTTTCTTTCTTTCTTTCTTTCTTTTTTTCTTTCTTTCTTCTTTCTCTGTGAAATTGCCAAAAGTCATCAGCTTTTGGCTCCAGAATAGCAGGAGAGAGTTAATTTTCCACAAGCCCCAGAGAGAGAGTTAGATTACCAAAAGTAATCAGCTTTTGGCCCCAATTGTATACTCCTTCGCTGCCTTCCTTGGGTACCTGAATGCCAGACAGGCCCCAGAAGGTTGCTCTCCTGAATATTTCTCTTATGCGACACAGGGACTCAGGTTATGCTCCCAAAGCACAGTTTCTATCCAAAAGACTAAGAATTCCTAAATGTTTAATGAAAGCTTTTTAATTCCAGTGACTCTTCAATCACCTACCCACTAAACATTTTCTGTGAAGCCTTGTGTAAGTACAGTTTTGGAATTCCAGCCCCAAAATGCCTGCTAAGGCAGCAGACAAATTATGCAATTCCTGGAGGTACAAGAAAATGGCTTACTTCCTGCTCCTCCAGAGAATGCAAGTTCCAGCTGATGTCAGACTAACAACTACCGGTAACTCTAGATCCAAGGAATCCAAAACCTTCCTCTGATCTTATGTGCATTCACAAACATGGGCCATATCAATGCACACACATATACACATAATTAAAGATATAAATTCTTCAAAAACCTTACAGTGTAAACAGACTGCCTAAAATTAAGTGAAAAACTGATGTGCCTATAAAACTTTAACTAAACAGGCTCATATGTAAGTGAAATTGTATCTTCTTCCCCAGTAAGAATGTCCCTCTACAATAAGGCCACAGAGTTACTGGTTAAAATGTAAGTGGAACATAGTAAGACTAGTTTTTTAAAAAATTGTTTCTCCATAACTGCACTATAAAATGAAGGGTTTCAAGCCTTAGATAGAGTTTAACTCCATTATAAACTTTGTAAGTTAGCAAAGTCATAAATATTTTACCTTGGATCTTTTTGTTTGTTTTTTTGTTTGTTTTTGTTTTGTTTTGTTTTTTCGAGACAGGGTTTCTCTGTGTAGACCTGGCTGTCCTGGAACTCACTCTGTAGACCAGGCTGGCCTCGAACTCAGAGTGGTTTGCCAGTCTCTGTCTCCCGAGTGTTGGGATTAAAGGCGTGCGCCACCACTGCCCGGCAGCAAAGTCATAAATATTTTAAAGCAATTAAGTTCATTCTCTAACCCTCAGACAGGAATGATACTTATCTAAACTGTTTCTCATATTGCTCATATTGCTTTGAGTTGGAAGAGGTCTTTATCAGAAACTTTTGTCTTCCTGCCTTATTCAGCAGGGTTTTTTCCCTGTTATGCTAAAACCAGGCACAGTTTTCTCCTGGCATCTTTAGCTCTTATTAAGGTAGTGTGGTATATAAATAGCTGAATTGTCAAATCCCTGAGCTAAAAAAAAAAATAAGGAAAATTAAAAGTACAGTCAAAGATATTCATAGCAGAATAAAATTTGGTGACCTTAAAGGCAGGCTATTTGAAAAAAAAAAACACAATCAGAAGAGGAAAAATAGACTGAAGAACCTTGGAAAAGCTTATGGAAACTCTAGCTCATATTAAGAAAGCAGACATTTGAATGTTTTAAAGAAGGCTTCCAAATGCCAAGGTGGTAGAAAGTTTGTTAAATAATGACAAGGTTTGTTAAACATAGAGAAGATACAAACATCCAGGTATGACAAGGTGGAAAGTCACAAACCAGATTCTTGTACTCAAGGTTAGTCATGTTCATGTTAGTCATATAGTAAGACATGTTCAAGTCAAGCAAATCTGCCCCATGACATATTACAACTGAGCCCTCAAAAGCTGACTGGGGTTGGAGAGATGGCTTAGTAGTTAAAAGTGCTTCCTGCTCTTGCAGAGGACCTGAGTTTGGTTTCCAGCACCCATACAGTAGCTCACATCTATCTGCAACTCCAGTTCCAGGAGATCTGACATCATCTTCTGGCCTCTACAGGCACCAGGCATGCACATGGTTAAATGGTAAGCTACTTTCTCAATTAGTGATCAAGGGTAGGAAGGCCCATTGAGAGTGTTGCCATCCCTGGGTTGGTGGCCTTGGGTTCTATAAGAGAGATAGCTGAGCAACCCAAGGGAAGCAAGCCAGTAAGTAACATCCCTCTATGGCCTCTGCATCAGCTCCTGCTTCCTGACCTACTTGAGTTCCAATCCTGACTTCCTTTGGTGTTGAACAGCAATGTGGAAGTGTAAGCTGAATAAACTCTTTCCTCCCCAACTTGCTTCTTGGTCATGATGTTTGTGAAGGAATAGAAACCCTGACTAAGACATATTCCAAACACATATCACAGTAGAAGCACCTGTACTTTACACACACTCACACACACACACACACATACACACACCATACACACACACATACACACACCATACACATACATGCACACACACACATACACACACCATACACATATATGCACACAGAGACACACACACAAACACACACGAAATAGAAATAAGTAAAATCATTTTTTAAAATGGTCTCAAGACTGCAATCCTCTCATAATAATTATGTTATAATGTGGGCAATCAGAAACTTCCACCACATTTTCAGTTCCCAGTTTGCCATTATTATTCCTGATGAGAACCACTTATTAAAAAATTTGCACTTATTGTCCACTTCATGTTGGTGATAATATTTTGATGTGCAGTAACCAAAGACAGACCCAGAAAATTACATCAGAGCAATCCTGAATTTTGTTCAAACAATATGGCTTCAACCAAAGCCTAATCCCACATCTTTTCATTTTCCAAGATTGAGAGCCACATTCATGACCTGCAGAGCCAACCAGAGCCTTGCTATTATGTGAATACTTACTTCTGAAATGTTAGGTTATGCTAACCAAGAGCATTTCAAGTGCCTGTGACTGATCTGTGTGTCTGTATGTATGTACATACACACACACACACACACACACAGCTATTGGTCCAGCAGTCCAGTGCTTTCCTCTGGATATACCTTAAACCTACCACCCTCACAACAGGGCTTTGAGGTGACGGGGCTTAGGACATGATGTTCATCCAAGCAGTGCTGGAGTATTGGTAGATGGCTGTTTATTTGGGGCATGTTTTTGGTGTATGATATAAATTCTTAAAAGATGGCTAACTTATTTTTTACTTTTCTCTTTAGAGACTTTCAGACTCTCATGATAAGATTGAGAAAAGATTGTCTTGGCCTTTACAAACATGTCTCTGGAACCATCAAATTTCAGATTTAAGCCACTACTGGTTAATAAAGTCCCAGTGAAAAGATCAGAGAGATCGTTTGGCAGTTGGGAGTGCATACCGCTCTTGCAAAGGACCTAGTAGATCACAAATAACTGTAATACCTGCCCTAGGGGATCTTTTGTCCTCTTCTGCCCTCTGCAGGCCCATCTCTCAAATGGCACAGAGCTCACCACCACCACCACAGATACATACATGCATTTAAATGTGTATACATATATACATTTAAAATAAATAAAAACAAAATATTTCTTAAAAATCTTAGTTAGGTGAGATTATAAAAATAGACCCATAGCCTACAGAGGAAGATGACAAGCAAAAGGAGCCACTTTCACTGGTTTGTTGAGTCCAGAGTGTGTTGCTAATATGTTACATGTATGTGTATGTCTTGTAACCACTGAACATGGCTGGAGTCAATAGCCAAGGGGAGAAAAACTGCTAGGCCTGCAGAGAGGGAGAGCCTCAAATGCTCAAGCAATATGATTTATGCTGAGCTCACACACTCACACACGATAAAACAGCATTCGCCATAGGATAAAAGGTACAACCTAAGAGCCCTAAGCAACAGGGTCAAGGCACCTGCTAATGTTAGGCTGGCGAAAAGTAATTATGAGTGTATCAGAATACATTCTTAACAAATATGATTATGCTGCACATCATTTTAATGCATATATCTTGCTTTATGCTTGGGCAATATTCATTGGCTATGTTTTTATTATATTTATTTTATACTGTGATAGTAACATTAGATAAAAGGAAGTCTGAGCTACTTACTTCTTTGAGTTCAAAATGGACTATAAAACATTAGGGACAACTCTCAGCATCAACACTACCTGTGTCCCAGGGACTGCTAACTGATACATACTGCTGTGGTGGGTCAAATTCTGCAAAGATGACTGGCGCCTTGAAGATGGGATCATAGCTGCTGGCTGTGGGAAGTTGACAACGGCCAGCTGAGAGCAATCACTGCAGATGATCTTCTACAACCGGATGAGAAGTTGCCAGAGAATGCACACGGACTACCCAAAGGTTTTTAGCATTTACAACACGATGAAAGGACAAAAGGGTTCAGTTAGGGTGTGTCTTGTGAGCTGATCAAGTAGTCATTTAAAATTGTCATTCTGAGCTGTCTTTTTCTGCTATTCTATGAAACAATCATAAGTCTGTCTGTCCATTGGATCGTGACATGTGACCAAACATGGCTGCAAAAACTGACCAGCAATACCCATATTAGTGGTTGAATTGGGTAAAGTGCTCCAAAGCACTTCCTAAGACCAAACTTACATTCAGAAAAGTCATGGCCATTGCTGGTAGTCTCTTCTGATCCATCATGAATCCTGGTGAAACTTTTATGTCTGAGAAGTATGCTCAACTGGTTAGTGGAAAGCAATGAAAATCACAATGCCTGTAGCCGGCATCCATAAACAGGAAAGGCTGGATCCTTCCCCTGACCAAACACCACACAGCCAATGCCTCAAAAGTCGAACAAGTTAAACTATAGAGTTTTGTTTTATCACCAGGTTCACCTGACCATTAACAAACTGGCTACTACTTCTTCAGCATCTGGACAACTTTTTCCAGGGAAAGCACTCCCACAACCAACAGGATGCAGAATGGTTTCAAGAGTGCATCAAATTTAAAAGTATAGAATCTAAACAAACTTATTTCTTACTGGCAAAAAACAAACAAACAAACAAAAACCCAAAAAATGTGTTCACTGGGGGGCTGAAGGGAAGGATCAGCAGTTAAGAGCACTTGTTGCTCTTATAGAGGAGAGGACCTGGGTTTGACTCCTAGCACCCCCATGGTGGTTCACAATCATCTTTAACTCCAGTTTCAGAAGTTCCAGTGTATACATCTGACCTCCAGAGGCGTCAAGCATGTGCTCGATGTGTATACACACATGCAGGCAAACACACTCACATACAAAGTGGATAAACCTAAATTTTTAAAACTTTTTAAATGTGTGGATTATAATGATTCCTGTTTTGGTTAATAAAGATGTTTGACCCAGTTGTGGTTAAGATTCATAGCCCCAAGCAGCAATTCCTCTTCAGAAACCTTAGATTTGAGTGTATGCACAGATGTTCCTTTCTGGTGGATTCCAATATTAAAATACCACAGACCAGCCCATTGGCCACTCAGGGCTTACCTCTGACATGAAGCATCACCATCACTACCTCAGGTAGCAGTAGTGGCTCATCTTCACTCTTAGAGTGGAGGTCCAGTCAGAGGTCAGCAAACTACTGTACACGTTTGTTCCGAAGCCTGTTGTCCTCTTTCATTTCTATTTCCACTGTAAGATATGACTTCAGCTGAATGTTTTGATCCTATCTGTAAATTTTTCTCATCACAGCACCTGCCATTTCTGTTGCATTTTCTTCAATGAATAGGTACTCAAATTTCTGATGTTTCAGCCTCCTGTAAGGCACTGTGGTGTAGGACCCCGAAGGGCTGCTATGCCCTGGCTGAGCCTTTCATTATGCTTTTGCCTACTAAGTAACATTCTGCAGTTCCTCTAGGATCAAAGCATCCTGACTAAGGCATGGTGCCCCAGGAAGGGAATTTACACTTGACATCCTATTCCCCCCCCAACCCCGAGTTGAGTTCGTTTTTCCCTAAGTTCGTATTTTTTTCTTCCCTGGCTTGGTGTATATATATTGAACCTGCTCAGTAAAAGCTTTGGCATTCTCTCATAACGGATGACCCGAGTCTGAGTATTTCTTTAATCCCCCAGGCCTACGCTCAAGTTCAGTACCATGGGCAGCACCGGAGCTGTCACTGTGGGGTGATGGAGGCAGTCAGGCTACCTTCTGTCTCTTTGGCCACTATTAGCTGCTCTGTGATTCTGTGCCCACTCTCATCCATGTCTCATGTTAGAAGGATTTGTATATCTGTTTTACAGAATAAAGCATCTGGATCTCAAAAGAAAAGATGTGTGCATATCAGTCCTCAAAATTTTTGGCGTTTTGGTTAATCTATAGAAAAATTTTCCCACCTTTATGTGTTGTGACAGGCTTCACTGTGTTGTCTAGGCTGACCTCAAACTCTTGCACTCAAGCAATTTTGCTGAGTCAGCCTGCTAAAGGCCACCACACTGATGAAAAGTTCTTTAAGGATACCAGCATAGTAGGAGCATGGGGAGACAGGATCTACCATCTTTTCCTGGTGGGACTATAAGTATGTCCAGAATTCCCAAAAGGTATGGCAGTGGGTGTCAACAAGCTTAAAACACTCACCTGCTTAAATCTATCCACTGGACATTGTTATGAGCAGAGCTATAAGTCCCCCAAAGCTTTCTGTAATGAAGACCAAATAGCACGCAATATGAGTGTGTTTAGCAGTAAGGTCTTAGAGAGGCTAAGGGAAAAGGGCTATGAAGCAGTTGAAGAGGGGTTTACCTGAAATGTCATGATGCTTTTTAAGAAGAGAAAGGTTGTGTGACAGAAACAGCAGACACCTGTTCCAGAATGAAAGGCCACCTGGAGACAGCAAACAGCATCCTCTACAATCAATATAGAGAGAATTTGGAAACCAGAATTGGGAGATTTCTGGGCTGCAGGACTTTAGGATGCTAATTTCTCTATCTTCAGCAACCCCGTGATAACTATGGCAACAGTAGCTAGATAATTCACTTGTATAGAAATCTGTTCTCAGCGGGAATACAATGGCTGAAGATTTGTAAAATTACTACAATCCCTGAAGTAAATCTGCATGTGTTAGTTCAGTTGCTGTTGGTCATCCAGGGTATTAGGTCCTGCAGACAATGAGAGGGCAAAGCAGACTCGGTATCTACCTTTAACAAACACTGGCATTTCACAGGAGACAGATATGTACTGGGGACTTCTGTGAAGAATTGATGGTTGAGTTCCAGTCTAAGGAGCTCAGTGGGACTGGAAAGAAGGTTATGTAAGAATTGGGAAAACAATAGGAGATAGAAATAATCAAAATGGATTATACCACGTGAGCAACATTGCCAACGAATTTTCTAAATTAGAAGTCAATTTATTGGCATGGAAACCACACTCCAAGCTATCTCAATAGTGGGAATGTGACACTGTAAATTTGTCTAAACTACAAGCTGAGAAAAAACAATAGTTAAATCTAAGGTAAAACATTGAGAATGACGGTTCTCTGACGGTTCTCTGACGGTTCTCTGACGGTGTCAGGTGGACCACTCTGATGGGAGATGTTGATAAAGTTCTTATCCAAGGAGATGAAATTAAATGCTCTCACAAATTTGATAAAGAAACAAAATGAGTCCCCCCTTTTTTTTTTCAGAGAAATACAATGTTCTGTGCAGATCAGAGAAGGATGGAACATCAAGATAGACAGTGGATCAGACAGTGGGTAGGTGTTCTTAAAAGCCCCAGTTACTGCTTGAGGTTTCCTTTTATGGGATTCAAGAGGTAAAGATTGTAGCGGGAAATTTTCCCTGTAAGTTGTGAGGAGCTAAGGTGGGAGGGGTAAGGAGAGGAAGAGAAGAAGGAAGAAGAGGAGTGAAGAGAGACAGAGATGTAGGAGGATGGAGAACCATGCTTGGATCGGTTAACAGTCCTGGGTAACAACTTATATCTAGGTTAGTTAATTGGGAAACACCTCCAGTTGTGTGGGAATCTTGTTAATTGAGCATTACCAAACATATAAAACCTTTGGTTAATCACTAAGCATTAGAGTCTCATTTCCTACCAGGTACCACGTGTATGGCAGGATGGTCTGCGCTCAGCCCAGCCTTGTGGAGACAGCATGGAAGATTGGCAGAGACATCGCCCACGCTGGCATCTCATGGGTGTCAGGGCCAGTGATTTTGGCTAGCCATTCCTAGCTGAGGTGCACAGGTGGCCTCTGGCCATGGAACATGGCAGCAGAGCTAAGCAGAGCTGCCACTTAGATAGTCGGCCTAAGAAAACGCTGTTTTAAATATTGACAGCAACACAAGATTGATCACTAAAAGATACAGAATAGGCAGTTCCTTGTTTTCCTAATTAATAAATTAGGTCAGATCACTTTTTTTCTGCTCATGTCCCCTACCATAATGCATCCGACTTTAATTACATGCATGTCTAATGATGCATAGGTATAAAATGTTAAATAGAAGAGTCTCCCTACAAGTTTACTAGATGTCAGAATTTTGTCTTGTTATACATGCACCTCAAAACAATTCTGGCCAAACTGAACCTTCTGTTCTTCATATCTCAATGTATTGGGATACACTGGGATAGAAACTGTCTAAATTTTATTGTTTCTGAGGATTAAGAGAGTTAATCTGTTAAGCAGACAGAGATTCCAGGGAGTTCCAGGGATTGTGTAGAGAGGAGTGTGTGTGTGTGTGTGTGTACGTGCACAATATGTACAGGTGAAGAAATTGAGCTGTCAAGTGCATTATTACACCAAAGACTAATGGGGTCTCGAGGTACTAAACTGTGTCTTATGCTTTCCTGTCTGGGCATGATGGTCAAATGGGAAATATCTGTACCTTCTACTTGATATTGCTGTAAATATAAAGTTGATCTTTTACTGTAAAATGATTTTACTGTAAAATTGTAAAATCTGACAATTCCAGGGGACACAATTTCATAGCAGTTTCTCTGGCTCTTACAATCTTTCCTTCCTTTCACACAGTGATCCTTGAGCCTTAGGTACAGGAGATGAGTTGTAAATGTACCCGTTAGGACTGGGCTCCACAGCTCCATATTTTGGTTGGTTGTGGTTCTCTGTACTAGTCTCTGTCTATTGCAAAGAAAACTTTCTTTACCAGGCCCAGATCCTGCACAAAGATCTTCAGGCAACTAACAAAGTCTGAGAGCAAGAGAGAAGAACACACCAACTGGATCTTCAATATTGAATGTTTATCCCTGAAAGCATGCATATAGTAACATTGTAAAGACTGAGAAGGTGGTAGTTATATTTACATTTAATTGTATTTAATTATATATAATTATATGTTATAATTAGTATACTTAGTTAAATATGTAATTACCACCTGCTCAGTCTTTATTTTATATGTATTATTATATATTAAGATATATTATAATGTATATATATATATATATATATGTAAAAAGATATCATGAATTTGAAAAAGAGCAAGGGGTGTTTGAGAGAAGGGAAAGGGTAAATTATGTATTTATATTATAGTCTCAAAAATAAAATATTGTTTTTTAGAAAAATCTTTTAAAAATAAAGGTGCCCAAAAAAGTAAGAGAAACGGGGAAACTGGTTGTCTTCACCTTTGGATGGACTGTCCTTCTGCTTTAATACAGTCACTGTTCAGTTGCATTCCTTCTTCCCTTGAGTAAATGACTGACAGAAAAGTGAGACTCAGCAAAGGTAAAACTCCAGGTCCCGGAATAATAAAAAGTGAAGCAAACTGGAATGCAGAGTGTTCCGGGCACTCTGGGAGCCATGGCTTTGTTATCTAACCTCAGAGAGAAAAGTCCTACAGTGGATTTGTTGCACCCACTTAACACACACACAAAAAAAGGATTCTCTTATGGAGATCACGTACCTTCCCTGGGTTATGTGACTAATGGCTTTCTTATGATGATAAAGTGACATGCCTAAGTATATGACATCTTCTTCCTGAATTAGCAATCCAGAGCCTTTTATATTTAACAGCAACGACGACTTCAGTCTAGCTCTGTGTGAAACTGCCTACGGTGTGACTTTTAACAGGGTGCCAATTTTAACAATTTTATTACAAAAGCATAATGATAATAGGTGAGTGTATTAGTCAGGGTTCTCTAGAGTCATAGAACTTATGGAATATCTCTGTATATTAAGAAAAATTATTGGAATGACTTAAAGTATGCACTCCAACTAACCCAACAATGGGAAGCTGTCAATGGAAAGTCCAAGAATCTATGAGGCTAGGTGGTTTAGTTGGTGTTCTGTATAAGCTGGAATCCTAGAAGTAAGTTCCAACAGATGTGGTGGCAAGTAAGTGCAAGCGAATGAAAAAGCACAAACACTTCCTCTTTTCATTGCCCTCATGTAGGCCTCTAGCAGAAGGTATGGCCCAGATTAAAGATGTGTACCACCACAACTGGATTTGGAACTTGCTCTATCCCAGGCTGGCCTTGAACTCAGCGATCTGCTTGCCTCTGTCTCCGGGACTGAAGGCATGCACTGTCTTGCCTGGGCCTAAACGTTTAATCGCCAGTTTGCCTCAAGA